TTCAATGATATTAAAAAATATGTCTACGAAGAATATTTTGCTCGACAAATCTATTGGATTAAAAAAAATAGTACAATCGAAAATTTTTTACATCTAACAAATTCTGATTTGCCTGAAATATTTCAAGCGGTAAAAGTATCAAATCATTTGTTGGTATTCAATCTGGAAATGGCTGAAACATTTATTTTCCCAGGTGTTAAAGAGTAAGTATCTGCTTTTGACTTCGTCATCTGAAAACGACAACTAACAATCATCATTTGATGGTGAACATACTTAGCTTTTTCTAAATCTTCTATAACACTGAACTATGCTGTACTATACGCTTTATTTTTAGACATTTGGATCGATCATACGGATATCCACCTGCAGTTGTTGTCGGAAAGTTTCAACAACGCTTAAAAGCTATTAAAGCAATAGATCAATATAGTGTGTTGATTCAAGCTATACGACTTAGTGATACCATCAAATCACCAAATGACATGATTGATTTGATAAGACGTTCCGTACGTGTATCAAATCAACAAGGTTATACCAATATAAGATAGAGTATTTAATAACAAGGTCGAAGACGAAACGAAAGAAAATTATATTATCAATAATAATAAACGTATCTTCGTGAAAGAACACACAGATGGCAAAAACGTGTACTTCATTGAACATGTTTGATCTAGTAAATTATATTTGAAATCAATATTAGCTATTTTTGCTTTGCATTTTATGTGATATTTGATTGTTGATCATTCGAAGAATAGTCGCGAACGATCTTAATAAACGAAAGCGAAAGAATAAATAGATGATCTCTTAATTCGCATCATTTGAACCTATCTTTGAGAGGTGTCACATATTCAGGAAATCGGAAAAGCTGAAGAAACACTGTGAGATGTGGGAGACGTTGGAGAAGTATTCACATATACGAGATAAGTGATAGGAGATTTGGGAGAAATGGTCAGAGATGTAAGAGAAGTGATGGGAGCTGTGGAAGAAGTGACCACAAATGTGCGAGAAGTAATGGGAGATATGGGAGAAATGATAGGAGATGTAGGAGAAGTGATGGAAGATGTGAGAGAAATGGTCCGAGATGCAGGAAAAGTTATGAGAGTTGCTGGAGAAGTAATCGAAGATGTGAAAAAAGCGACCAATGACGTGAAACAAACGGTTCACTGTGGGCTTGTGCGTATCCAGCTGGGTCTTTATCTTCTCTTCAGAAAAAGAAATACATAAACTGTGCACACTCAGACAATCTCGCCCACACACAAAACATGCAACTACTGCAATACACCCACATCCACACGAATTGAGGGTGTGGATGTGGGCTTTGGTGTTGGCGTCCGTGAACCGACCACCTAAATCTACATCCTACCCACGCCCATACCCCCACTCTGACACCCAGTATTATTTTATTAGCATCACTTCCAAAACATTTAGATCAACTGTGATTCGGCTATCTATTTTTCTTACACTATTGCAGTTCAATTTGATTAGCAATCATTACGAGCATGGTTCGCAGATAACAGGTCTGTTCATGTTCATGGCCCAATTTTCTAGTATCAATGTCGAGAGCTTTCATGCTAATGCCAAAAGCTTCTGAATATCTTTCTACTTTAGCAAGTCCTAACGTAATATGATTGTAAGTGGCAATAAGCGATGGATGATCATCAGGTAATGAGCGCTTTTGAGTTTTCAAACATGTACTAAGCATAGATAATCCCTCTTCATACTGCCCGCGTTCAATATAGAAGAATTCAAGATCACTATACGATGTAGCAATATTTGGATGTATATCAAGGAGGCAAGCAAGCATATATTCTAGTCCTTTTCGATAATGCTCAAGTGCTTCATCAAACTGACCTTGTTCATCGAGAATACCCGCAATGTTATTGTGAATACTTCCCAATAATTCTTGATTTGTTTCAGGCGCGTTACTTGCAATGGCAAGATCATTTCTTGCCAAATTTTGATAAGCCAAACCAATGTTAGTTTATGAAACAGCAAAAGATGCACCATTGGACGGCAAATATGGTTGTTTGATGGCCGTACATAGTTGATAGTGTTCGAGTGCTTTTAAATGATTTCCGAGCTCGTCATGGAGAGCTCCTAATTGATTGTGAAATGCTGCCAGATTCGATGTATTTGTTTCTCGTTGTAGAACATTCAAATAGAATTCTTCCACTTTCTTGAAATTCTCCATCTCCCGCATTAAGCGACCAAGACTTGTGAGATCATATCGACCTCGTAGCTTTTGTCGGATATAATTCACCATTTGAGAGAGCTGTTGATCGTGATCGCTTGTTAATTCTAAATGAACACACTCAATATCATTTGACAAATTTTCTACTTTATTTATGCGAAAAAAAACTGCCCATCGAGAAAAGATATTCATTTTCCTCTGTAAATTGACTCATTTTCTCGATGTTAGCCAACGAAACATTAGAATGCTTCAACGAATTTATAGTAATCCGAAAAATGGTGGCTATTTCGCCTTTGCTAATGTTCGTAGTTTCAGCAAAAGTAAATGCGACAATTTCGTTCCTACTAGTTGATAGAAAAACTCTTAACTGAAAGTAGGCCATCTTGAATAGTACGCAGTTTATCGAAATCAGTGGTAGACATTTGTTGACCTCGATATAATATCAATGATTTTCTTTCGTTAAGCGTGTTGCAGGGTGTGCATATGGGTGTGGGGTGTGTAGAAGCTACCACGATGCGTTTTGACTGTTGCTTAGACAGTCTCATCAGATGACTTAGCATCTCTAAGTCGATAGAAATTTCGAAGTAGAAATTTGAAAAAGGAATCAATTCAAGACAAAATTACACTGTTCTACTTGGAAAAGTAGAATGGTAATTGCATGTACCTGTTTGAGATGAAGCCCGAAGAAGCCTGATGTTTGAGATTTGTTTAGCATTTGTCGGAGTCTAAAATGTATTTTGGAAAGCATTGCAGTCGGTATATTTTTGAGTGTATTGACCGTTTGCTGTGTGTTTTGTTCTTTTAATTTATATGACTTTATGAGCTTATGGTTTGTCTGGATTGTTGTCCTAGTGTTTGCGCCATGGAGATGATTGGTAGTTCTTTGGAAGTTGGAAGAGTTTGAAATGTTATCGTTAGCTCTCGGTGGCTGTTGTAATGAGATGTAGTATCGAATAGTATTCTTCATGATTCGGAATGAGTTGATTTGGGTGTGTGTTGAGTGTATGAAAGTAAATAGGAGTCAGTATTGAGGACGAAAGTTCTATGATGCCTGTTATGATATTGATTTGATTGTATTATGGAACTTGGTTTGTTGTCAAGGTAGTGTGATATAAACGCAAATATCTAAAAGAAAATGGGATTGATCAAATTAGTACATGGGAGTAGAAGTTATAAGTTTGTTGATTGACAATAATTTATTAGGGAGTTTTATGCAGAGATCTATCGTCATATATATGTTAGATGGGGTGTCGTGCCGGGGATGGCGTAGTGGTTCTATGCATCTGATTGTTAGTCAGACATCAGAAGGTTCGATTCCTTCACTCGGCATGGTGTCTTCGGTGTTAAGATATACGGTATCGGAAGAATAAACGAAGGAAGAACAGCAATGCACACCGACCTCGTCATTATTGTCTCGATTTCGATTTTCGTTCTGTTCGTTTTCGCTTCCCGGTGACAAGCCGCCATGACACGTGTTTTGATCTTGCTCAAGGATCTCTTCAGATGGCAATAACTCTAGTGAATTGGTAGGAAAATCCAAAGCACTAAATTTATACTGTTGCTTATAAACTTTTTAAATTAAAAAATCTATAAGTAATGATAAATTCAAATCCCAGTGTGTGACAAGCTGCCATGACGGTTTATTTTATTTTGGTTCTCATGCTGTCTTGTCTTCTTGTAACTGCTATTTCCGTGTCCTAGAATTGAATGTTTTGATTGGGGAGGGTGTATATGGGACACGCGTCTGTTTTTTTTCAATTGAATCAGTTTGAGTTTATGGTGTACTGTTTCGTTCATAGAGGGACACTAAATTTGTTTTCCCTGTTGAGTCTGAAAGGCTTTTATAAGAGAGATTGTGTTTATTGATTTACTCTTTAGTTAAGTAGGATTGTGCGTTTCCTATAGAACAAGAAGTTTAGCATTGCTTTGGAGCGAGAGAAATTTTTTTGAGACGATATCATAGCGGAAAATTAAATTAAATCTCTCTTTATTATATTAAAATTTGAGAATGGATTGGCCTACTTTCATGATATTATAGATGAACAACTTGAAACTATTATCCATTTCAAAATAGAAGAAGGGTGATTGTTTTTTGAATGGAAATAACCACCGGTCTGGGATTTTCATCATTTGATAGAGGCGAGCATTCTGCATCTTTCTATAGATGGTTAAAAAAGTCATCTTATAATTCTGATGAGCAGTCAATAAAATTCAAAGAAGTATTTAAAGTGCTATGAAAGTTGTATCGAATGTCAATTGTAATTAGTACATTATATTCGCCAGATCCAGATCTACAATTTTACATAAATTCGAAATTTTTATTTTGTTCCGTTCAAAAATTATACGCCTTACACTGATGGTTAAAAACGCTTGAAACCC